CGGTTTCGTGCTCCTCGTCATGGGAGGCCATGCAGAGAGCTCATCATTCGCCATGTGCCCCTCTCGGTCTGAGGTTCATATATAGTCATTACTTCTGATGTGAAATTAATGATGCCTCACGCTGTAGATCTGGCCGCACTCATGGCCAGCTCCTTTGCCATATCAGTGTCAACGTGGTAGTTCAACCGGGCTGGGACACGGCCCCATCAGGTCCATTAGCTTATTGTTGCCATTGGAGAATGAAGATGATGGAATCACAAAATCTAGGAGATATGAAATTTAAAGCTCTAAAAATGTTCAAATAGTTGAGAGGATAGGTTCTTCTTCAAAAAAATGATAAAAGATGGATCGTCACCGTGAACAAATTTGAAAGAAGGGAATTCATTGCTGTAAGAAGAATGGCAAAGGGTTCCACCAACAAAGCAACAACAACAGATATTGTGAATATAGTAAATCAGGACATGGATGCTGACGGGAGACAAAGCACCTCAAGGACAAAACCGAGAAGTTAATATGTTTTTCGAGTATATATGTATTAGCCATATAAGTAGGAATGATAATACTGCTGCCCATTATCTCGTGTATAATGCCTATAAATTTAATATCGCTGGCTTTATGTTATTCTCCTAGTTCTACTTAATATATCTCAGTTTTCTTTTCTTTTTTTTTTTGATTGAAAAAAATGCACTCTTAGAAAATAGTTCACATCTGTTCCCAATACATGGCCGATGGGGATGTACGTTGTGGGGTGCCCCTAGTCTTAGCTTGAATGCAAAGTTTGTATCCAATTTTGGATAAAAACTTTGCTCACATTTACGATGAAAAGTTGTCAGAAAATGCAAATTTCCACCCTATTTCCATAGAAAAATATTGTCAATCCAAACACTTGCAAATTCAACCCACAATGTATATTTACACTGAATCCTTCTTGATACTGATGAGGGGTAAAGTGACCTACCAGTTATTCACTGCCACGTAGACACCTAGAACCACCTTGAGCCACCTTGGCATCTTACATGGTAGGACCTCGGAAGATTGCTACTTAGCAGACCGGTTTATGCCGCTTATGCGACCTCGTGAGCTATCTGACCTTGTAGAGTCAGACCTATGTGGCATACATACCTTGGTCCATTTGAGCCACTTAATGATCTCGAGATATGTGGAGGGCACATCGCCCACGTGGCAATGTTTACCCTGGCTTCCCCCATTTCTTGGGGAAACGATGAGAGGTCAACCTGGTGACCATTCCAAAGTATCCCCCAGATTTCGATGCTTGAGGCCCGTTACTTCGAGTATCTTGGGTGTGTTTTGACCGAACTCAGGGCCAGATCCTCACCCTTTAACGGTATGCTCACATAAGCTCTCACTCTCTTCTCTGATCTTAGCCCTCAACTCTCTCTCTCTCTCTTCCACTCCCCAAGCTCTCTAACGTGTGTTGCTTTACAAACCTGACCTTCCGACCTACTCACACTCAAGTCATTAGTCCAAAAAGGACCAACATAGATTGATCATCATCAAAGACCATAACCAAACATGGCATAATTTGGGAAGAGTACAAATACAATTATGCACAATGCAATAAACCGGTATTTTTTAACCATGTGTTTGCATTATAGATTTTTTTTATTTGCACTCTTTTCAAATTAAATCCTAAATCTATACTATATATAAAAGTGTGGATGATGAGTGAAAGTTTTTTGGACTAAAATTACCCTATATTCTTTGTTTGATAAAGGGTATAAAAGTCATTTTATTACATCTTTAATGCCAGTTTTAATAGATATTAAAATGTCCATATTTGTGTATTAAGTCCATCTCTAATAGTAAGGATTGAAAATGTAACTTCAATTGTTACTAATAAATGCTACTAATTAGATCTATGCCAATATTTTTACTAATAAGTGCTACTAATTAGATCTATATCAATATTTTTAACAATATAAATCCATATATTTTAAAACTGACTCAAAAACAAAATCCTTCTTTGTCCGAGTGGTGGTTAAGTAATTCAACTATATAAATCAAATTGATCAACCTATGAAATCATAGTTAGGTAATAAAATTTTTAAAATTGAAATAAATATAAAAAATTACAAAAATGTAGAAAAAATTAAACACACTTATGATATTTTTATTAATCAAATGAAAAAAAAGGTATAATAAGTAAGAATTATTTTTATTGATAATGAAAATGAAATACATAATTTATAACTAACCAAAAATGAAATTATTTTACTGTTTGGCAAAGATCAACAATTCAACTTTTGGGCCACATGTGTTAACATTTAATGTCATAAATAAATAATAAAAATTTATAAAATATAGAAATAAAAAATGAAAAAGACATAAATTTTGCAAAAAAAAAACATTCAAGCACATGTATAATATTATATAATTATCATATTAAACAAAAAGTAAGTGTGACATATCAAAATTATTTTTATAGATAAACATCAAAAAAATTATAGAAAAAATTGAACACCTCTATAATTCTATATTTATACTACTATTAAAAATATGAATAAAATTGTGGAACTTTCTTTTGACTAAAATTCTCATTTTTGAATTTAGTCCCTATTTAATTGTGAGGTTTAATTAAACTAGTACTTTTCACCTCATTTCTCTCTTTTTAAATCTTACATTTCTTTGATAAATGAACAAAAAAAAATAAAATATTACAAAAAAAAAAGAATCTAATCAAACAAGTAGGCCTATCAATGATACTTGAAATTTTACAACTTGATGCAATTATCACATATTTGGATAAAGTGTTTATGTAATTAGATTTGAATTTTGCATATGCATCTAATAAATAATAAAAAATAAAAAATACATTTTTATAAAAAATTCTGGATATATTATTACTATCGTTATCATCATCGAGAATTATCACGCACACTTACTAGTTCTTATTAAAAAAAGGAAAATTTTATGATGTCAAAAAAGCCTTGACCAATCAGAGTCCACCTTTGAATTTTAATAAATATATCGTCTGATTAGTTAAGACGTTTATCATACCATTTAATTGATCACAAATTTTTCGGATATGATCTCTTTCCGATATCGTAGTCGAATCCAAATAAACTTTTGCTCGTTTACACGGTGCAAATAGAATCATGTCTCTCATGTTCAAGAAAATCCTAACCTCTCCATTGTTGGATGAGTGAAAAACTTTAGCTTTTCATTATAACATGAATGACGTAGTTTTATTATGAAAGAAAAACTTTAGCTGTTGGGGGCTAACAGCCTATGCTATTGAGAGAATTTCTGAAAACGCCACGTTACCATGAGAATGGATAAATTAATAATTGCATATTAATTTATTTTTACTAAAATGTAAAAAACCAAAGCATGGGCGTGAATAAGTGAACTGCCCACAACGACCTTACTCCTGCCTACCACCATTGCAGAGCACATGAAAAGCACAATGATTTTCATAATACGAACTGGTTTCTGTTATGCCAATATATCCTTTGTCTCACCATTGCATAGAACAATAAAGGAAGCACAACCATTTCCGTAATACAAACTGGTTAGCTTTTATTTTTTCATTCTGATTTCTGTTACGCCAATAACTCTGTCTCACCATTCTGAAAACTATGTAATATCAAGCAAAAATTAAAAAAAAAACGAAATATGGTTTTAGTTCTAATACGTGACAACTCCCTACATGTGAAAGAAACACATTAACCTTGTCTTTTTCATTATATATTGGTGAGATACAAACAAATAGTTTCATGCATTAAAAACAAAGTTGTTTTCTGTAAGTTATAGATGAAGTTATCGGCAAACGAACAATTCATTGTTAAAGATTAAACCTAGTCATTGATGAAGTTATCCGCAGAACAAAGAAGATTTTTTTGTTTAAAGGCTTAAAGCTAACTTGTTCTAATAACAGAAACCAGAATGAAAAATAAAAGCTAACCGGTTCGTATTATGGAAATGGTTGTGCTTTTCATGTGCTCTGCAATGGTGATGGGGAGGAGTAAGTTTGGCCTCCCTCTTCTCTCTGTTTTTTGATTTTGGGAAAAAAAACTCAAACCCAAGTAGATATAGATGTAAACTATAAAAGTTGAAAATAGTTGAAGTTATTCAAATTAGATCTAACCTGACGTCGTTAGACAAACGCCGTAACCAATCGTTTCTCATTTAAACGCATTGGGACAAGCAATTCTGACGTGGATTAATAGATCCACCTGGCCCAATAAAAATCTTGGGACGGATGCTTTCGTCCGTCGTTGAATGAGCGAAAGTGAATTCCAAAAAATTACTTTGCTACGCCATCTTCCAATGCGTACAGCCAATGCCTTCCGCACCGTTTCTGTAGAGAAACTTTGGCTGTCTTGTCTATAGTGTTGAAATGCAAAATTTACACTGCCACTCAAAGTTTGCATCAGTCAGATTTGCACTGCAAATATAACCTTGTGCTTGTGCTTGTGGTAGGGAAATTAGCACCGAAGGTTCATGCTAGAATTGGACGAGTTAGGATTTGCTATCCATAAGACGCTACACCTGCACAACTCAGGTAGGAGCGTCGGACTTCATCAATGACAACATACAACCAAGTACGAAACATGTTTGATGATATGTGGATAAGAATTAGATTGTCTATGTTGTTTTCCATGGTTGGACGGTTATATTTGCTTTTGTTTCCTGTTTGGCTCGTTTCAATCAAGTCAGCATCAAAATTGAATCGACACGAGGATCCTGTTTCAGTTCGACCCAGTTGGGCTAATTTGGTCTGGTCGAGCTCTTAAACATCAAATTTTAACGATTATCATATCGATCCGGATGGACCGGATCTATTGCACTCGGTCCATCGATCCATCCAGGTTGGCGAATGGCGACTGCCGAAAACAAATAGGACTGAAGCCTTAAAGGTCATCATTCATCTGGACCGTTCAATCGTTAACCACGATCGCTGCATCCAATACCAATAGCGTGTCAGTGAACAGAGAGATTCTTTTGGTGGAAAGTTAATAAAGAGATTCTGATCCAACTACTACAGCCTGTATTGATCTCCGCCTTCCACTCTCATGCGCATGGTAGACGGGAACGATCTTGCGCGGGAACGGCCATGATTGTAACAGAGACAATCACTTAAAGAGAGTAAAAAACGGTTCTCTCGCCGGTGGCCGGTAACCATAGTTGCTCTCTCTTTCGTTCTGCTTGACTGAGCTGTTAGCTTTTAGTTTTTAAGCATTGAAATAGAAAACCCATCAACGAAAGGAAACTGCCCAGTTATCTCTCCCCGATTCTTCCGCTTTTGAATTCTATCCCACTCCTCCCTTTTTTTTCTATCCATATCCACATTCAGATATCTTCGGCTCCCTCCATTAACGGGAAGATATATACCAGCTTCGTGAAATCTCTTTTTCTTTTATCTCTGCGTCTGCTTTCTATTTGAAATAAGAGAGAGCTCGAAGAACCAACGTCGCTTCCCTGCATCTGCTTCTGTTCCGCTTTCCACCCACTTCTTCGATTTTGGACTTTGATCCATCTGTTTTGGTTAAAATTCGGAATCTAAAGTGGTGGAGGTCAAACATTTGTATTTAAGTTGTTTTTTTCTTTCATCTTGAATTTTCATTTGTCAAGGGCGTTCTTCTTTATTGATAATCCTAGCCCTTTTCCTTTCCCATCGTCCGTAGATAATGAATAATATCTTTTGTTTGTGTTTTGAATTACTTTACTTCTTCATATCAGTGATCAGATCATGTTTCCCTTTTTGCTACATCATCAATTTTAGAAGCATATGATGGAATTTTCTTCTCCTCATGGCCCCATTATTTCATTTTCCCTTTTTATGTAATGCTTTGATCGGATTGTCAAGACTGTATTCGGCTCCTTGTGTAAGAGATCTTCACCACAACAGATTGATTCGTATTAAGCTCATCTGCATGAGGAAGCATTTTAATTAGGCCCTTTGATGTTCTCACTGGTTCTTCATTAGATCGACCAAGCTTCTTCTTGGAGGTATTCTCTCTCCTTTCAGTTGTACTAATATTCTCTTGATGTATGTTTCATAGAAGATGTCTGGACTTTTTAGAGCCATGCGTGTATACTTTTTATCTTGCATCCATGATCTAATCAGAAAATTCTTATTCTTACTGGTCATGAATCAAAACTCATTAATGAGAGTAGGTCAAGAGAAAGTGCCTTAACTCGCTTGAAAGGTCTCTAGTCAAGGTACAATGGCTGCTAGCTTAGGGGTTCTGGAGAAAGGACATATCCCAAATGCAAGCTAAGGCTTTAAATGACAAGCTTGCCTGATGATCTAAATTTGTAGAGCAGCTGCATTCACATAAATTCAGGCCACAGTTACCAAAATTTAGGCAGCTATTCCAAGAAAGGTTCTGCATTGCAAAATTTTAGCTTATCAGCTGGAAGTCAAAGTGTAATGCTAGCAGCTGTCTCTATAATGCATCCATCTGTTGACATCTAAACAGCTAAAGTAATACAAGAAATGGTAAATAAGATGATCTTAGTGAAATATTTCTCCCACATGACATCGTCGTATAAGCATTAGATAGAGGCCCCCAAATATGTATGCAGCTTTCATCCATGTCAAACAAAATGCATAAGCAGTTAATAGACAGGCAAATAATTCTTTTATATTTTTACATGTACCAGTGTAAATTGACATTAGAGTTTGTAGAACTTATAAATGTCTGACTATCTGTTAAAGAAATAGAAGGGTGTAGGATCTCCACTTAGCTTTAAGATTCTAGATAAACTAACCTCTTGAAATCTCAATTCCAGCATCACAGATGCAGTTGATGCTGGCATCAAGCACCTAAAATCTGATACATTCTGGTGGCAGTGAATTGGCTGAGTTTCCGATCATGGGTTCTTGCAGATGTGAATCTTCACTTTTATGGTGTTAACTGTCTTGTGTGCTTTTGAAGAAGACCAATGAGGGAATGGTGATTCATGTAGCAATGGATTCTTCAGTTGTTAAGACCTCTCTTGTACGTTTGCAAACATGGCCAAACATAAGGAAAATATTGTTCAGGTTAGAAGGAACTCAGTTCAAAAGCTAGATTTTAGATTCTGGAAAAAAATATTGGCCACCTAATAATAATTGGCTCAGTTCATGTCTCTCAAAATTAGACTTGGACTTCTTGAGCACGTATTTTACAACTCAATTGATTAACCAATAACGTTGCATATGGTCTGAATATATAAAAGTAAAGGTGGTTTAAAATAAATAGTCAAACTATGGATCGCAAACCTAGAAGAGTGTAGGGACCCAGTGGCCACAACTCCTTGTGCCCCATCTCATAGATCTCAAAAGTGGTTCCCCCAGGAATGACATTTTCTTGAGGTTGCATTTGTTAACAAATCTTTGGCCAGAAAATCGCTGAAAATATAAATGAAATTTTTACAGATGGAAAATTTCCTCTGCTCCTACAGAGAAACAAACAGATATCAATAGAAGTTGAATTGATTTTTTCAACCCTACATTGGGTTGAAATTTTGCCATTGCTCTTGGATGTACAACTTGCAATTTGTCACACTATTTAACTTGGTCTTAACCTATCAAAAGTTCAGGAGGAGGAAGGTGAACTACTATTTTCCAGTTCATCAGACTCACTCTCATATAGCCATATCTGAAATAGTTTATTTTAAACAGCATTTCTTCCACTACATAATCCCACCCTCCTATAACTTCAGTTTGTTTCTGGTGATTATGATGCTGATTCTTCAAATTGCATGATAAAAATCCTAGGGAGAAGTTTGCTAGAAGATACCCTTGCTCGGAGGCAGAGGTGGCCAATCATGTCAGGTTTGAGTACTGAGGCTGCACTTGATTTTATTGTCAGAAGGACAAGGTTTGACGCCAAGCCACACGGGCGCTCACTCAAGAATGCTGAATCCTTCCTCTGCACCTTTAAATTCACATAGATGCATACATCCTAGTAAAGTCAAGGAAGCCACTGACAATGAAGAAGGTAGTTAGATGATGGGAAAATTTAGAACAAAGATGTGAACCAAGTTCATTATCCATTTATAAACAGTTGTACAAACTGAAAAGGAAGTTGTATGTTAAAGAAAAAGCATTATTGAAAGGAAAATGTAAAGAAAAGAAAAAAAGTTGAATTGGAAGAAAAGGAAGACAACATGGCATGGAATCTCCTGCATTGCTCCAACTGTTTCCTGATAACAAAGGACAGGGAACTAGACAAAGAATAAAGTACATGTGGAATAAGCTGCAATTGACGAAATGCCATCTTGTGCTTATTTTTTCTTCTCGTTTCTTTATTGAATCTTTGGAGCACAATTTGCTATGGAATTATCTAACTTGAGTTGCGTGAGATCTGTTACTTGTCTGCATCTGCAATGCAGCATTTGCTCCTTTCAAAACCATAAATTAATCATATTTAAATAAAGTATATTGTAGAAGAATGATGCCAATGTCATTGTTGATCTGCTTTTGTTTTCAATTACAGTCATCCCCTTTGCAAGCATCGGGCATTCAATAGGTACATGATAAAACCAGAATCTTTATGAAGCAAGTTACCCAATAGGCTTCTTAATTCATATTTCTTAAGGGAAGGGTTAAGTATCCAATACACTTGTTGAGAATCACGACTAAAATGCTCCTAATTTCAAGTTAGTTGGGTTCTAAAAAGACTAAAAGAGTATTGTGAGACTTCCAGGAATAACCTTCCAGAAATAAAAAGAGAATCACGACTAAACTGCACCGTTGTCCTTGTACAGGGGACGATACCTCGATGAATCCACCAATTACATTCTCTGAACTAGACACTAGACTGCTAAATGGTGGTGACCGGTGAGCTTAGTGAAGAATCGTGTGAGGATGTCCCGTGGAAACTCAAGTCTATCATCCATGATTGTCATCTCTTGGGGAAGGTTACAATCTTAGGGGAAGGTCTTTTATTTCGGGAAGCTCCAAATCCAAATGGAGTGTGTTTTTTTTTTTCTATTTATCTTTGTGCGAAAAGACATGTCTCAACCAAACGGGCTTCAAGCCACTCAAATCTTAATGCGAAAGCTCAATATGTCTTTTAACCATCAGAGCTACTAGAAGATATTTCCAAAAAGATTTGCCAAATGGTCCCTTAGCATTTATTTACGTTGTGTTTGGTTTGAAGGAAAAGTAGGGAAATGCTTGAAATAAAATCCTCCTAATTGTATTAGTCATTTGTTTTAGCAATGTTTTCAACCAGTTGTTGACCCGATCGGTCAAATCGTTTGAACTATCACCTGGCTAGGAATTTGGGTCCGGTTCAGTCAAGACCTATTAAATAGTTAAAAACCATTGATTTAAGAACCGTTTGACCCGATGACTAGGTTGTAGGTTACACACTCAATGCATGCAAAACTTTTGGAGGCCATAACTTTGCATTTCAATGTCCAATTAGGGTGATTTTTTTTTTATTTTAGGTAACTTTTCAAGATCTATGCGTCCCAATGAGCCATAGAAGCCTTGCCCCACTTTTTCAAAAAAAAAAACTTTTTTGGCCTTAAATTACAATTTTTAATATTTTTTATAAATAAAAATTAAAAATTGAATTAAAAAAACATAAATTAAATATAAAATAATGCATATAACATATCTAAAACATATTTATACATTATATATATATATATATATATATATATATGTGTGTGTGTGTGTGTGTGTGTGTGTGTGTGTGTGTTAACATGGCACGATCTGAACTGTTCAACCCGGCTGGTCGAACCAGTGACTCACGACCCAAATGCAAAAACAGTTTGGCTTCCGAATCAGTTTTTAAAACATTGTGTTTTAGTAATCAACTCTCTTTTTAGCAAAAAAAAAGAAAAAGTAACCTCTTTTGATATTTTAATTCAACTTTATCTTTATGTTTTATTTATTTGGAGAAAAAGATTTTCCTTGTAGGCAGGAAATAAGTACGTTCTCCAAAAACTAGGTCTAGTATTTGTTAGTGCCTTAGTGGTGCAAATTTCATTTGCACTTCTGTAAATGCATAGGAGTGAAATTAAGCTGAATATAAAATTTGATTTACTTTTGCCCCAGATTTGGCTATCTTATTTGTATGTGAGAAATAACATAACAGATTTGGCTTATCTTCTTTGTATGTGAGAACCTTAAATGAAAGGAGCTTAGAGAATTTATTTGTTTGGAAGTGAGGTAGGAAGCAAGAAAATGTAGTACTCTATATGAGAAGAGAATTGGGGTAGGAAGGTGGTGTAAATCTTACATCAGTTTCTCAGGTGCAAAATTTACATTGAAAATGAGACAAGGAACAAATTTTGCATCAGATAGGGGTGCAAATTATAATTATAACAAACAGGTGCAAAACTAAACTGGGTGCAAAATTTGTATCCAGTTCAAATTTGCACTGCAAACAAACAGAGAATTAAAAACAAGAAATGGAGATGTAAGTACCATGTATATTTGGCAAGGTGCCAACCGGATAGTTGGCAAGGGTTCCTGCTGATAGTAGCAGAGACTTGCGATCTAATCCCGCCTGCACCTGGGTTGGGGGATGGGGGGCTTGGAGCAAAATATATATATATATATATATATATATATATATATATATATATATATCAGGTATATTTAATATTTGCTTTTTTCAGATACCACTTTTTGTCCTAGTCCGTAATCCAGTTATTTGAAATTTTGAACTTTGAAGTTCTTTCGCGACTTGTGTACAACTGTACATCTGTCCCTCCCCAGACCCCCCGTTGGTGGGAGCCTCATGCACTGGACTGCCCTTTAACCATTACCTCAACCTTTGGGACTGATATACCGAGGATGGTCTTTGCTAAATAAGGAGCTTGAGGATTTCGAGAGGGATTGGCCCCAACAACTAACAACTATATAATCAAGAAGAGGCATCTCACTTGCAACTCAACAAAGAAATACGGTTTGTCATCAACTCATCATATGGTCATCTATAGGTGATGGCGTTGAGAGATTCTGTTTACTTTGTTCAGGGATGAGATCCACATGAAGCTGTCAATGTAAGTCTACAAGTTGGAATCAGTCAACTTTGGTGCTTGAATGTCAACATCGGGCGATAACCTAAACTTGAGAATTTTATGCAGGGAAGCAACAGGCTTGACTTGCTTCGCTGGGCCTTGATTTGGATTTTCAATGCATTTTCCCATGAAAAGGTTTTCTTCAGATGGCCCTGTCTCCTCATGAAGCACAGGAGCAATATCTGCCAAGATAATATACCTAGAGTTAGACTAGCCAAAACTCTATGCAGCACCGTAAAAGAATGAAGTCTTGAAGTAGCACTATAGATTTCTCTTATATAACTGGCTTTGTTCAAGTTATTGGGTGCAGCTTATACCAGACTTCTAGGTAGAGTCTTTAGGTATTTAAGGGGGCCATTGCTTAGTCAAATGGTAAAATCTCAAGTTGACAAGCATGAAAATACGGGTCCAATTCTGAGAGCAGCTACTTGTATCCAGTGTACCCCTCCAAATACTCCAAAAAGCAACTATCAACATCGGGGAATGGCCAATTTTTTATGAAATAGACTGTTGAGGAAGGCCCAAAAAGCATTTAACTATCCAGTCTATCCCCCCCCCCCCCAAATCTCCTCCATGTCATTCCAATTTATCAGATGTCTCTGCAAAAGCATTTAACTATTGTTGCACTTGTTTTGCAGTAGCAAATTGTCACCTGACAGATGTAATCCAACAGACTGGTTGGAAGGCCCAAAAAGCTTTAAAGGTTCAGTACCAGGGTCAAGGTGGTTCATTATGTCAGTTCAAACTTTGCTAATTTCAATATACTACCTCTCTTGGAAGATCGATGTTTTTTCTCTTATATTAGTCAAGTCCCAATACCTTCTATCTGGTATTCTCAGCATTAATTCATATGATGGAATGGGCAAGTATTGCAGGAAATTGTAGAAATTAAATTCTACTGCTATTGCAGAAACTGGAAAAGGAATGTGACTCACCACTTTCAGAGAAAACAATACAAGTTCCTATTGTTTCTTCATACTCACCTATCTGCAACAAAATAAGAACATCAGTGGGACATACTTTTTTCCTTTCAGTTTGCTCCCTTTTAGTTATTAGGAAGATAAGAACAATCAATATGAATTAAACATGTCATTAAGCAGATTACTGTTATTGAAGTGCTTCAAGACTTTCAGAATTCATATATATTGGTTTAGGGTTTAACAAAGCTAGTACTAGAACGACCATCATCATCATCATCCATGCCTTATCCCAACTATATGGGGGTCGGCTACATGAATCCTGTTTCGCCAACCCATTCTATTTAAAGCCATATCCACTGTTAAATTATTAGTGCTCAAATTATAGTACTAGAACGATGGATGTAAAAATTATTAACGAATAAAATGTATAATCTTATTCTAAGGCAAATATCATCCAATCTTTCTATTTCTAAGGTTGGTTAAATTTCAAAAACAGAAAAACAACTCTGATACGAAAACAATATTAAAATTACAAAAAAGAAACGGACAGATTTTGCCATTTTCAACAAAATAAAACAAGTTCAGATTTATAAAGATCTACTTGAAAGAGTAAAAAATTGATATCCTATCACAGCTAAGGAATGGATATATTTAATGAGCATTTCTAGTATCTTAAGAAATAGTGGAATTCAAAACTATTAGTAACTAACTACCAGAACCCAATCTTAATATCCACTTATTTGATTCTGTAAGAGCCCTAGACTAGAAAGGTGGGTGAAAACAAAGTTCATATAAGGGATAATTAGGACAGGATTACGCTAAGCAGTTACTTTAGGGGATAATCTAGTTAAACATGCAATTTCTGGATCCAGAACCACTGGAATATGATGGCATGTATATGATTGGATAATGAGAAGCACAAACTGTTAACAAAACCTCTGTCAATTGTATACAGCATTCCTGCATGTACCTGTCTATGTGTGTTTGTATGTTCGGGGGAATGGGAGGGAGAAAAATCAGCAACTTCAACCAAATATATAACAATAGAAAGCAAGTCTCAATGTGAGAAGTGGTCTATAGTGCTTGATACATGTACTTATAGGGAACCCTTGGGAGAATGCAGGTTCAGATTAGATGCATTCTTCCCAATTAGTTTTTTTTTTTTTTGGCAGAGGAAATGCTTGTCCATATTTACAAGTCACTATGCATCCTTTCATGTACATTTTTCTTTGTAACATGTAAAAATCACTGACTAGCAATTATCCTAAATAGGCCATATGTGCAAAACCCACCTGCACATTAGCTCCATATGATGTCCTGCATTGGACCATCAATGCATGAAGTATATGCAACTGCAATGGAATTACTTTTGGATGATCTCTGCCTCAAATTGAAAATAGGGGTTTCACCAATTGATAACTTACCAGCTTCAGTTTGTCACCTATGACCAAAACTGGGTTCAGCGTGTCCAAACCCTACATAAATGATAAGGTACATGTTATCCAACATGAAAGTAGGATAAGGATAACAAAGAAATTTCATGACACAATTTTGAGCTCAGACTGATGAGTCCAGCAGAAAACCCATTTTATGGAACAGTGATGATGGATAAACATTGATATTGGAGGATGAAAGGAAGAAGCTAATCAACATGTAGTGTGCATGTTACATATGCAGCGTGAGTCAGACTCAGAAGTCAGAACCCACCACTATGTACCTGACAAAGGAGAACTCCAGAAAATATTAGAACAGAATAAAACACAAAAAGCTGGACCATCCCAACCATTATTGCCTATTGTACTTTTGGACAATCTGAATTAACACAATTGAGAAAATGGAAAAAAGGTAGAAAAGGTATATGATGTAGACAGTTGGAATTTATTAAATATCAACTAGAGCAGGATCTCCTTAGCATCCATAGCAAGAGGAAAGAGGAAAGTTTTCTTATCATCTAATCCAATGCATATACCTATATGCTGAAGCAGGAAGGACAATTTAAGGATCATTGAAAAATCTGATCAAATACAAATTACAGACATTAGAGATTCTTAAAACCAACTATATTGTATCCTTCTCCATATATTTCTCTTTAAAGCAAATAAAAAAGCAACTTGCTATATCAAGTTACAATGGTCAAGAATTTACCCAGAATATTTTAGTACCTAACACTGTCATAGCTTAAGTACCGGTAAATCATGGAAACATAGACCCTTGAATCTATGTAAACAACAGTTAAGAGATAGGCACTAAGGTTACTCTGCCAAAACAAATACTGGGCTATTAGCTCTGAATAAAAAATAGTAATTTTAAAAATTCTTGCAAGAAAATTCACATACATGGCTGAAAAGGTAATTACATTTTAAATATTAATAATATGAGATAATTGTACAATCACAACAAAAAAAAAAGAAATAGCAGAAGAAAAATGCAGAATTCACGAACATTGTAATATATATACATACTGATAGAACATATGGTGCATTAGGCGGGATTTCAACTTGTGCGGAAACAGCATCAAGATCAAGTAAGAGATACTCTTCTTCGTCCTCCACATGTTTATCCTGCTTGGGAATTGATTCCATTATTATCTACACATATAAAGAAGCAACTACCTGTTACGTCGTGTTCAAAGCCAGTTAAACCATGGTTTAGTTACTCCATGAACAACCATATGAGCTTAATGCTTGGCCAGGTAGTGGACCCAGTGGTGATGTTGCCACATTCAACCAAGACAATACATCAATCGTATCAATTCATAGGTAGATAAAATATTTTCTGTACAAGAAGCTTGGTGATTATACACGAAGAAGGATTCAAAATTGTTTGAGGCATTTCATCAAACATGTAATTGGCAGGTATAGAAAGTTGAAAGAATATTCGTCATATGAACAACAAGAAAAGGAAGAAACGGTGGAAAGGCTTTCGTACCTTAGTTGAAGTTTAATTCCTCTCGTTTTCTTTGTGTTCTGTCTGTTGGGTTTTCTTTTTTGAATGAAAGACAGGCTTCAAACTCGGTTCACCAACCAGCACGGGATGCTGGGTTGAGCCTTTAGTCTTAGTGGCATAATAGTGAGTGAAGAATTCCAATTCTACTAACAATGGGAAACTTGCATATACCACGTCAGCTCCCTATACGTGGTTCAAGTCCAACCCCTCATGATAACGTGGTATTTTCTGATTGCCTCACTATCCTCCAAGAAAGTAAGCGTGTGTGCATACAGGTGGTGGGTCCCTATTAATGCCAATTGGGCATGGACTCCGGAATCCGGATCCTCTATGGGAACCGGAGAATACCGGGAAAAAATACACCACGTCAGCCTGATATCTAGATTAGACCTGTTTATGGGCCAGGTAGCTGAACGGGCTGGCCTGGCCCAGCTCGGCCCATCTTAAATCGGGCTTGGACAAAATTTTAAGCCCACGGGCTCGGGCTCTAAAAGCAGGCCCAACTATTTTTCAGGCCAGGCTTAGTCTTTCCTAAATAAGCCTGAGCCCAGCCCAATAATGTTAAATATACAACATAAATATAATATATATGTTAAAAATACATAATATATATTATATAATAATAAAATTAATAGCAAAAAAGTATTACATATATTAAATGTATAAAATATAATATAATATATAATATATAATTAATAGGTTATAAAATACCTATCAAAGTCAGGCTTTAAGCTCGAGCTCAAGATCCAGGCTTGATGATCAGGTCGAGCTTGGGCTCGAGCCTAGTAATTTTCTGTTTATAAGGAGGCAAAGCTTAGCCCGACTTGGCCATGAACAGGTCTAAATTCTCTAAACCCAAGTAACCAGGTAACATTTTGAATCCAGATTTCCTCCTTGCGTATTCGTCATCACATCACCTCCTAACACTTGCTTTGATGCATTAGGAACATCTCTCATGAATGAGAACATACAAGTATGGAAGATGATTTAGCGTGATCTAGCTGCTCCCAGCTGGAGGTGATCTGGCTTCCAGACGAACAGCGGACTGAACCTGCAAGGATATCAGAGAACCCGGGGATGCTAAACCGGCGAGGTCGCACCGATGCTTAAGTCAGTAGGCTAGTAGCGAGCTGAAATTGCTTTGAAATTAGAGAGCTTGAGAGTAGGAAAATCAATGTATACCTTGCACCCCTGGGGGGTGGAGTCTTTATATAATGGAGTCCTCCCGAGTTTCACGGAGCGGTTCCGGGATCCTCGTCATGATGAGATTCGTTTCCACGATAATGGGGAATAACTAATAGGGTTTATCGAGCCTGGCCGAACCGGTCGAGAGGGAGATAAGGCTTACCGTTACAAGGCGTGATCCCGCGAGGCTCGGAATCTAATGGCGAGATCTTCGGGGTTGCCATGTAGTGGTCTATCAATATTACCCGAGCTACTGCTCTTTAGATCCGACCTGGGGCGAACACCAAAGTGCCTTGGGACCAAGGTGGTCTTGCTACGACCTTACACCGAGGTGAACTCGTCCCGAGGTGGTTCGATTATCCGAGCTCGATATGTTGCGGACTTGGCACGTTGGGCTGAGCTGTCATCTTACTAGTTAGGTCGTGTCCACATGTCCCCCTGTTACTAGGTCGGGTCAAATCGTCCTTCATCAATTACCCCCCACTCCCCGCGCCGCGGTCCTGACCCGGTGCGCGGAGTTCATGACGAGTCCAAGTGGATTTGGCACGAGGTCTAGGCGGTCTGTCGAGCGGATCAATCGGTCGGACCTGTTTGAACCTCTGATTTAACCAGCCGTAGCCCAGGTCGCGTTAGGTGTACGCGCGAACGTCACATTGTTTATGGATTCTATGGACGTAAAAAATGCGCTCAACCGATTTCGTCCTCGGGCATCGTGCAACCGGTTTTCATGAGAGCCGTTGGATCAAGCAGATCTCAGTCGTTAATCACCTCGTGGTGAACTATAAATAGGGGGCCGAGGGACCCCTCTTCTTCGCCAAAAATTCTGTGATTGAGCTCTCCCAAGGTTGCGTCGGAGTCTTTCAGCTCGCTCTTTCTTTGTATTTCGAGGTCGTCCTTCTCTTGGTGAGTTCGTGTTTTCCTTAGTTTGTTCTCCTTTGTTTTTTAATCATGTCTAGCTCTAGTATAGATAGGCTCTTAGGTGACTCTAGCGAGGTTGGGGGCGCCGAGGTGCAGTCCGCGGCCCCTATTGGGGAGGTCAGCTCGTCGCTGGGCGACTCCCCTCTTCGGTTTTTAGAGGGAACTTCTCTACCTGAAGTTGGGGAATCTCGGCCTAGCGAGCCCGAGGCTCGGGAGGAGGGACCGACCTCTAGGACAGAGGTCCCATCTTCTTCCCGGGGTCGGGATCTAGACGACTTCGGTCCTTCTATCTTGACCTCGGATAGGTTAATGTATTTAGTAGCTCGCTATCGTCTTCCCGATAACATAGTCTTTAGTGTTCCTCTAGGTCAATATCCTTGGGCTCACGATCCTTATGAGCTCGCGGTTTTTGAGGAGCAGCTCGCTGTCGGGCTGCGCTTCCCACTCCACCCCTTCATTATAGAGATAGTCAAGTTTTTTAACATCACCATCGACCAACTACACCCGAACTCAATCCAGAACATAGTAGGCACCATCTCCCTGTTCCATGAGTACAACCGACCTTTGTCCTTAGACGTCTTCAGTTCGATCTATGCGATAAAAAAGAATTCCGATTGACTGCGCGGGGACGTCAGACAAAGTTACTACATCTCTCCTCGGCCTGGGTTTAAAATCCTGTTTGGCAGCCCAAACAAGGTTCCGGCCTAGAAGAGGAGGTACTTCCTTGTCTGAAATCCTGAGGGATGGTCTTTTCCAACTCATTGGAGGGTGGCCATCAAGGATCCCGGGGTGAGTTTAGATGCGGAGATTAGGGCAGTTATCAACTCTTGGAGGGACCTCGGCCTAGAGATGAAAGATTTCTTGACCGAGGAGAAGCTTGTATGAGCTGGGTTGAGCCCACCTGGTAGGTCTCCACCTCGGTTTTTACTTTAAGGTTTTCTTTAGTTCGTGGCTAACCCTTTTTCCTACTTTTGCAGTTACCATGCTAGAGGTCGATGCAAAGGACCTTCTCAAGAGCTTTCAGAGAGGGAAGAAGAGGAAGGCTTCGAAGAAATCTCGTAGGGAGGCCGATCCTTCTGCCCTCGCCCCATCCGAAGTCCTTGCCCGGGAGCTGATCTCTACTAGGCTCCCCGAGGAGGAGGTCCGCCCTCACAAACTCCCTGAGGAGGAGGTCCGCCCTCAATCCCTTATAGTGGACTTGGACGAGGACCAGGAGGAAGACCTTCAGCCTCACGAGCCGGAGAGCACTTCCGCGCCCAAGCCTGAGTCCCCCAAAGAAAGCATAATGACCCCTCAGCTCGGACTGCTCAAGAGCAAGGGTGTCGTCTTTCCTTCCGAGGTCGCGGAATGGGCTGATATGCCTACAAGCCAGCTCGGAGGTTGGACTGCCAGCTACTGCATGGTGGTAAGTATCTTACTTTACATTTTATTTCCTTGTCAAACTTTCAAACGTACTTACCTCGGTTTTCTTTACTAGGTGAACTCCACCATTCGAGCTCGTATGTACCTTCCCCGAGTACCCGCCTTACTCGGTATGGACCTTCCCAGTTCGGTCCGAGCTTACTGACACTAGGCTCAGGTACCATGACTTTCCTGAGAACCAGGTTGCCAGCACGGAAGTGCCGTTTCTTGACCCATGCGTTATAGTACCGAGCCACCCTTTGCTGGTAGGCTGTAGTCCGAATGTATGCTAGGTCTCTTACTTCTTCCACCAGGTCGAGGTTGGTACAAAGCTCGTCGTCGTTTGCTTCTTCGTTGTATGCCTCCAGGCATAGTGTAGGCACCTCGATCTCGACTGGGATTACCGCTTCTGTGCCATAGGTGAGGTTAAAGGGGATTTCACCCGTGGCGGTCTTAACGGTGGTTCGGTAAGCCCATAGTACACTAGGCAGCTCGTCTACCCATAGTCCCTTATCTCGGGCTAAGCGGGCCTTTAGTCCACGGAGTATAGCTCTATTCGTGACTTCTGCCTATCCGTTTTCTTGAGGGTGTGCCACCGAAGTGAAGTTCTACTGTAATCTCAGTGCACCAACTCTGGAACTTGATATCTTCGAACTGCTTACCTTTGTCGGAGATAAGCACCTGAGGTAGTCCGAAGCGGCATACTATATTCCTCCAAAAGAAATTTTGTATATTGTAGGTTGTGATTGTTGCTAGGGGTTCCGTTTCCACCCACTTCGTGAAGTAATCCACTGCTGCTACCAGGAATCTCCTCTGTCCTGTCACTGGCGGGAATGGGCCAAGAATGTCGATTCCCCACTGTGTGAAGGGCTACGGGCTGGTGAGATGCTTCAGGTCGGCAGCAAGTCGGCGGTGGATGTTGGCGTGCCTTTGACATTTATCGCACTTCTTAACAAGCTCAAGTGTGTTTGCCTTCATTGTGGGCCAATAGTACCCCTGCCACAGCGCTTTCTGGGCGAGAGCCCTGCCCCCCAAGTGTCCACCATACAAGCCTTCATGAGTGTCGTGAAGAACGAGCTCGGCCTCAGAGGGTCGCAAGCAGCGCAAATAGGAGAGCCTAAAGGATCTCCGGTACAGCCGCCCGTCTATCATGACGTACTTGGCTTCCTAGCACTCTACCCTTCTGGCCGCATTGCGATTTGCAAGGAGGGTCCCGTGAAGCAGGTAGCTCGCGAGTGGGTCAATCCAGCTCGGCTCTGCTTGTGCAACAGGAGCGACCTCTTCTGCCCCCCGAGAATGCTGAGTCGGGGTAGGTTCTCTATATACACAGTCCTCATGGTGTTGCTGCTTGTGCTGGCTAACCGGGACAAGGCATCGGCCTCAATGTTCTCGGACCTTGGAATCTGCCTGATGAAATAGGACTGGAAGCTACGTAGAACTTCCCTGACCCTGGCTAGATAAGCGGCCATGGTGGGGTCACGAGCTTCATAATCACCAGTGACCTAGTTGACCACAAGCTGGGAATCATTGCAGAAGACAATGTGTTTAGCTTGAACTTCGTTCGCTAGAGTGAGCCTGACTATCAACGCTTCGTACTCTGCTTCATTATTAGATGCTAGGAACTCGAACCGAAGTGCGTACTCCAGCTTCACCCCACTTGGATCGTACAGAATAATGTCTGCCCCCGCTTCCATGTTGATTAGATGATCCGTCTACGTGGAAGAT